TGCTGACCTGCTCCACTGCTTGATTATCAATCCTGGAAGGAGGAATGTTTGGAGGATTCCTTCGAAAGTCAATAAACATTTCTTTAGTTTTCTCAGCATTAATGTGTAAGAAGGAAGCTTTGCACCAGTCTGTGAATTCCTTCACCACTGGTCCATGATCCGGGCGTCACCACTCAGCAAGGACACAATAACTGAGTCATCAGCAAACTTAACAATGTGACGCCCTGCATGTTGGCTGCAGCACTCATTCGTATATAAAACAAAGAGCAACGGTGAGAGGACACAACCCTGAGGTGATCCAGTGGAGGAGACGAGGGTCTGACAGGACACCATTCACTCTCACCCTCTCTGGTAAAAAGTCCATCAGCCAGCTATAAGACCAGGCTCAACGTTGTAGGAATCAAGTAGCCTTCCTGCTAAAATAAGTGGCTGAATGCAATTAAAAGCAGACGAGAAATCAATAAATAAAAGACGAGCCAAGGAACCGGCTCCCTCAAGGTGGGTTCAAACCAAGTTAGCAGGGTACCTTCTGCATCTTCAACTCCTCTGCCTGACCTGTAAGCAAACTGAAGTGGGTCCAGCTTATCCTGGACGCAGGTCAGAATGGACTCTTTGACAATTTTCTCAAATGACTTCATGACCAGGGAGGTTAATGCAACAGGTCTGAAGTCATTTGAGGATTTGGGAGATGCAGACTTGGGCACCGGAACAATAATGGAGTCTTTCCAAAGAGAGGGAACCCTGTGGAGCTGGAGGGACGTTAGAAAGATAAAACCAAATACATCTGCCAGTTGGGCAGCACAGTGCTTAAGAACACGACCTCCAATACCATCAGGACCAGGACTTCTCCTCTCCTTGATGCCATGGAAGAGTTCACAGACTTTGTTACTGCTAACAACAATCCAGTGGGTCACAGCATCTGGTTACAGAGACTAGAATGTTTACTGGGCTTAAAGGAACTGCACTGAACTGGTTTACATCATATTTATCAGACAGATTCCAGTTTGTTCATGTTAATGATGGTTCTTCCACCTGCAGCAGAGGTAGTGATGGAGTTCCACAGGGCTCTGTGTTAGGACCTTGTACATGCTCCCTTTAGGCAGTATTATCAGGAAGCACTGCAGACATTTCCACTGTTATGCAGACGACACCCAGTTATATTTATCTATGAAGCCAAATGAAACCAACCAGCTGGTCAGACTCCAACATGTCTGAAGGACATAAAGGTCTGGATGACCTGGAATCTCCTTCATTTAAATCCAGACAAACTGAGGTTCTTGTATTTGG